ATTGATTATCTAGTAAGATTTTAAAGTTTTAGATAATATAAAATTAACTAGTACTACTTTTGGAAGGGCATTGTAAGAGGCCGATTTTAGATAATATGAAATATACATATTCTCTATGTAACCATACTTTCGAACTCAATTTTAGTTTCGTTGATTAGAATCTATTGTTTTTTAAAAAATGAGTCAAGCTTAGGATTTATTTTTAAAAGGGATAAATTCAAAAATTGATTATTAAAAATCTCTTAAATGAAGAATTGATTTTCTTAAATTTCGCTTAGATATTGAAGAATCAGAGAAAATTATCTAACATAAAATGAATATAAATAAAATTTCTTTTATCACTAAATGTTCTTCAAAACAAATGAATAAAGATGAAGAAATAAAAGGGATAAAATTAAAGGGTTATAGGATAAATTCAGTTGATCATTGCATCTTTAAATTGTATTTGTATTTGTATTTGTATCTTTTAATCTATGTTTGCATCACTTATTTGCATGTACTACATTACTTGCATTTAGTTATTATCCAAAGAAATATATGGTAATAAATGGTGATTTTGAAAATTATTTTTTTAGAAATAAAAATGAATAGTCCTAAGTAAAAAAATACTTTATGGGACCCTACCTAGATATCGGAGGGCTTTTCCATAATTATTCTTTATAAAAGAATATTATGCCATATTTTGAGAATTATTATGGCGGTTTTAAGTTGAGAAATATTTTTGAAAATTTACCTAAATATTAGGGAATTTAGGAAATGTTTCAAAGCTAAAGATTTTCGTTGTATTCCTAAATAAAATGTTTTTTTAAAAAAAGAAAAAAGAATATTTTACAAAAATAGATGAAATTAAGGGAATTATTTTAAATATTAAGATTAAGATAATTTTTATCAATATTAAAGGATAACATGTGACTAATTGGTATCATTTTTTAACAGAAGCTGTAGGGTTGTTAATTTTTTCTCATGGGTAACCGAACTTTTGAACTAAAGTTTGTTTTCACAAATAAAACAAAAAATTATCTTTTTAATAAGTTTAATTAATTTTAAAATTTTATTAGGAAGAAAATTTTTTTTGGATTGCCAATCACACTTAGTAAAGAAAGATTAGTTGCGATTGTCCCTGTTTTGAAAATTTTAAAATATTCGTTTAGTGGTCCCCAAAATTATTATGACAAATTTTGCATTAAACAACTTACGCTTAAACCAGGTAGTATTTCCCAACATAGACACTTCATTTTGTCTCAAAACCAAATAGATTGGGCTTAGATTAGCTTTAAGCTCAATTGTCAAATTTTGGATATTTATTTTTAGTTTATCCATTTCTTTATTTAATCTTTTGTATTTATTATTATTTTTGTATATATCTTTACTATTATTATTTTTTACCTTAATTTATCCTATTATTTATTTGCCTATTTATCTTTATTTATCTTTTATTTTATTTATCCTATTCTTTATCTTTAATTATTTGATTATCCATAAAAAATAATTAGGAACTAAAAGAAAAGGTTCAATGATGAGACTAACGGAAATAGAAGAAACTTTTATTTATTTGGGTGATAATTCATTTTATACCAAAGTTGGATTTGAGTTGGGATTCTTAAAGATAAATTGTAGTTTTTTTTTTTTTTTTGTGACAATGCAAAATTTTAAAAATTGAATCCTAGATGATCAAAAGTTCTTGTTATTTTCCTTTATAAATACTTAGCAACAATAAACAATAAATGCACAAGCATGATAGCAGAAATAAGAAAAAATAGTGGCAATTCAAGCTTGAATAGTAGTGTTTCAATTTTTAGATTAGCACGTTGGAGTTTGTGTTGGTTTAATATGAGGGAAAGATATGAGGACAAATATCTTAGGTGGTTAAAATTGTTCAAATAAGGAGTGTCTATAAGTTTTTGGATTTTTTTTTTGAAATTTTTGAAATTTCCAATGAAAAGCCCAATTTTTGGCATAATTTTTTAGTGGAGGTTAAATTTTTTGATGAGTTTTCTGACAAATGTTGAATTTTCCAATGAGTTTTTAGGCAGAGTTTAATTTTTCAGCAAGTTTTTTTTACTAGATTTCCCAATTTTTTTCAAGAGATTGTAGATTCTAGCATCGATATTCTTGTATTTTTCTAAATGCCAGAGAGAAGTTGGATAGAACAAATCTAGAAAGAGAGGGAAAAGAAAATCTGAAAGAAAAAAAAAATATTGCTTTTTATACTTGGTCAATATAACTTCATTTTAAAGAATTAATTTGCTACCAACCCATGTGCAGCTTGGCGTGTTGACCTAACCTATAATGTGACTCGACCTGCGAAACCCGTTTCCCAGTAGCTACTATTAAGTTGAGTTGTCGTTCCAAGTTGCCAAGCCGTATTACGCCTCTAGAGTCGAGCAAAGCCGCTTTTCATAGTCGAGTCAAAGTTTTAAATATCTTTTATATATGTTTTTTTTTCATTTTTTTCAAATTTATTTATTTATTTTATTTAGATATTTATCCTATTTTAACAAAACATGTCTTTTAAAAAAAGGGATAATTTTTTTTAAAAATATAATTTTTAAGGAAAAATAAAATAGTATTAAGATATTAAAAGGTTAAAATTTTAAAACATTGATTTTGGTAAGTAAAACAATATTGACATATTGGAAGGTTAAAATTTTAGTAATACATTTTAAGAGGTAAAAGCCTTACCAACATATTTAAGAGTTTATGATTTTGAAAAAAAAAATTTTAAAATAAGATTTTACCAACATATTAAAAAATTTATTAATTTTAAAAAACATATGGTTCAAAGAAAAAATATAATTTTCATGAATCCTACCCACTATATTGTAGGAAACTTTTTGACAAAAAATCTTACCAATATATTAAAAAATATTTATAAAAATAAATAATTAAATGAGTGATTTATTTTATGAAAATTGATTTTGAATTTCCAATGATAGAATTACAAAGAACGTTGTAAATAACAATTGTTATGTAAATTCATAGGTAAGAAATTCTTTTTAAATTTTATCAATATATGAAAGAATTTTGAAAAGATTTTTAATATTAAGATTCACAGAAATCTCATTGTCATAAATAAAAGTTTTTTATAATATATTAATGAATTTGAAGATGGAGTCCTTTCAAACATGACAAATAGTCTTCTTGAATATTCTCAAGGTGAGGAAATGTTTTAAAATTATTATCAATATATTGAAATAATTTGAGAATAATATCCACTAATTGATTATCTAGTAAGATTTTTAAGTTTTAGATAATACAAAATCAACTGATACTACTTTTAGAAAGGCGTTGTAAGTGGCTAATTTTGGATAATACGAAATATACCTATCCTACATGTAATTGTACTTTCAAACTCAATTTTGGTTTTATTAATTAAAATCTTTTCTTTTTTAAAAAATGAGTCAAGCTTAGGATTTGTTTTTAAAATGAATAAATTCAATTAAGAAACCAATCATTCCTAAATAAAAAATATTAATGGTGACTTTTAAAATTATGTTTAATAATAAATTTATAGGCTTATAAATTATGACATACACAAATATAAATAAATTATAGAAGCATCAGTTGAATAAATTTAAAATTTAAAAAGATTTATCTGATCCCAAGAGTGGTTATTAATTTTATATAAAGCGACTGCAGCCTGTCAATTGACTAAGCTCTCCTTTTTTCTTTTTCTTTTTTTTCCTCTGCGGGAAGAGAATTACTAGGACTACTCGACTACGTTCAGTGACAAATACCGATGGTTTTTCATCTTTTTGCAACATTGGGTCTAGTAGAAAATCCATTCAAATCCAAATTAAGTACAATAAAAAAAATTCATAAAATTAGAGAACCAACAAAAAAAAAAAAATTCAAACCATCTTAAACTGATCTTCGCACACTAGTTGCTTGAGGTAGCGAGTGAGGAGAGCAACGAATTAAAGTGACTCCATTGAAAGCAGTAAGAGCTTATTTTTTTTAAGCTTCAGCAGGAAAAAAAAAAATCACCCTCCCTTTTTCTAATATTACAGCATATTCTATTATGTGCTAGCTTAGGAAGAAAGATCGAATTTGTGAAATTTATCAGACCCTCAGCCAACTTCATTACCTTCAGATAAAAAGAAAACAATTTCGGTCAGAGATGAAAAAGAATCTCGAATGAGGATTACCATAACAAATGCCTAGAGAATTTAATTGTAATTATAAATATAAAAATGTTACAGATTTTTATTTCATAAAAAACTTGATTTATTTTTTATATCCATCACTGGCCAATAAAACATCTTTTATAACCATCAAATGTGCGTACGTAAAGCATATGAAACATTGGAACATATCATCGATTAATTAGGTTCATGGTCTATGCAAGTATGCATGGTACGGTGATTGAAAGATTTCTAAATATCCAATTTCAATATACTATATATTTTATTTGTTTGATTAAATTAAGAAATTAACATTTAACTAAAAGTTTTCATAGCTCGAGTGATTCAATTAACACCTTTAAAACTTGGTGTAATTGGACTTGAGCTTGGCTCATCCAAATCAGTTTATTTTATGTTTATTATTAAGGTATTAATTACTAACATTTTAAAATATATTTTTATAATTAAAATTAAATAAAAATTATATACATTTATTTACTTATATATTATTAATAAAAAAAGATTTTTGAACAAAAGGTTTAACATGCAGTACCGCTGCCCATTAGGCCGTTAATTACTCAATTTGATAGAAAAAGTAGTTAACAATAAATAAACTTTAATGAAAGCGGATGGCCATGGACATATAGAAAATATACACTATATGTCAAGAACATTTATAAGCTTAAACTGTTAAAAGAACATAATACAATAATAAAAAGTTTGAAAATATTAATCCAAGACAAAGCCTAAAAGCAAACATCAGGTCTACTTTGATAACATGTTGGTTGCAACATAACCAAGAGGAAGAGGGTGGCTTTTTCAGGTTTCATCTGCATGTTGATTATGCCTTTGAATTCTTCAATTTGCACCATATTCCTAGACGCCCATCTTCATTACTTGCAACCTTAAGTTTTCAACCAAATCTTCTTCTGGTCCGAATTTGTCATCCTTTTGGAAACTCTTTGTGGATTGGATTAACGATTTGTCCTCGTCAAAAATTGTTGAAGAAAGGGCTGAGAAGAGTTGTGGGAGATTGCTTCCATACGAAAAAAAGCTGAACTCTGGCATAAGAAAAGAGTGGCTTAACAGCATATTAGCCATCCATCGTTGCTTGGGATCCCTAGCAAAACACTTTGCTAAGAAATCCTTCCCAATACTTGACATGTTTTCTGGGATTTTGGGTGATTCTCCATTCAAAAGCTTGTTTCTCAAATCTTTCAGGTTGCTATAGTTCCATGGCATTTTCCCACTAATCATCTCAACAATAATGCAACCGAGTGACCATACATCCAATGCACCACTGATTTCTCCCATCACAGATTCAGGTGACATATAATCTGCTGTGCCTCGAAAGCCATATTCCCAAAGTTGTGGAATATCTTTTTCCCCACATTGTCTAGCTAACCCGAAATCCGCAATCTTTAAAGTATTCAAATCGGAACCGGTCTGAGATGGAAAAACCAAAATATTTTCTGGTTTAAGATCAGAATGGATGTATCCTCTGTTGTGAATGTCAACAAGCCCTTCAAGAATCATTCTTGCATAATCCTTCACATCACATTCGGGTATTTTGCCCCCATACTTGTTCGTCAAATCCAAGAGACTACCGCCAGATGCATATTCAAGAAATAAGTTATAAAAATACCCTCCATCTCGTTCAAAACTCGTGAAACCACCAAAACATTGAACAATATTTGGGCAACCTATAAACTTTTTAAATATTTCCCATTCCTTGGAAAGAGAAAAAGACTTTGTTAAAGGTGCAGATTTTACAGCAAACAACCCAGAACAAGGAGAAGTCGTTTCCACCAAATGTACCACACCATATGCTCCCCTCCCAAGGACCTTAAGCTTCACTCCTTTCACCTCCATTCTATACTTTTCTTTCTTCTTCTCTGAACTTAAACGACTAGTTAATCGATGGTGGTATAAGGTTACGTACGTTTTATATAAACTTGTTGAATTAGGTCGGTTTCCTTATTCATCACGGAAGAATTCCAATTTGCATGTAAGCCGCCGTTAATTTGAGCCCAACCAATAAGCCCTATGATTCGGGTTTATGTCCTATATATTTGGTCCGTCATTTTATAATGAATTTACAACCCAAACTTTAATTATCCAGGAAGTAGTTTATGGATATATAGGCTGAAATTTTTATTAAAAAAAATCAATATTTTAACTAAGCATAATAATTATTACTAACTTAATTTTAGAATTCTTTTGACAATGGTTAGACTTAAATTTGAAAAAAAAAAAAGATTTATTAGTATAACTCTGTTTAACGAAATTTTCAATTATAAGATGAATAAATGATGAAAATAAACATAAATAGTTTTCCTTGCTATTGTTCAACAACAATAACAATTAACAATATTAAAAAAAAATTAAAGCCACATACATAACCACGTAAAGATAATTTGAAGGTATTTTGGAAATAATATTTAAAGCTATATAAACATGCTCTTAAAAGACAAAACTAATACTCCTTCCATCCCTATTTGTTTGTTTTATATTGACTTTTGCGGAGTTTAAAAAAAAGTTTGAGTTTAATGTATTTAATATTAAGATTAAAATTTATTTTTAAAATTATAATTTCATGATTTTTAACGTTAAAAATTAAAATAAATCATAAAGATAATTTTAAAATATAAAAATTTAAGAATTTTAAATGTTCAAAAAAGGAAATAAGATATGATTTTGAAACATCCTAAAAAGGAAAAATGAACAAAGAAAATTGGACAGAGGAAGTATAAGACTAACTTTTTCTAGAAAAGATAGTCAAGCATTAATGAAAAACATTGTTCTTTGTTTATTTCAATTGTCATGTTCAAGTGAAAGGAGTACCTACCAAGAGAAATTGGAACATGACAATGTATTTAGAATTTGCTACTCATATGTACCAGTTTGTTAAAACACAATATAATTTCCGTTCATCTAGACCAAAAAGACATGCATGCCAAAGAATAAAAAGAAGAAAGTTTAACAAAAAATAAACATGAAGAGATTTTTTCAATAGATCAAATATTGTACGCGAAACTTTTATACAAAGATCTACTTTTTATATAAGTGCATCAAATTTATGTGGTAAGAAATAAATAACTAAAATTGTGTAAAAAGATTTGCGGTGTTTATGAAAAATGTCACGCAAAGTGCCGGCTATTCAAGCGTCGTGATAAGTAGCGATGTTTTCAAAAAAATGCATTAATATTAACGGCGTTTATATCTGAAATGCCGCCATTTTAGAGGCATTTTTATCTTTGAGACACCGCTAAATTAGTGGCATTGTTATGAGGAAAAACATCGTTGCTTTGGTGGCATTTGTAACTAAAAACACTGCTACTTTAGAGGCGTTTGAATTTGAAAATGCCTTTATATTAACAGCATTTGTATCTTTATTCACCACTAATTCAGTGATATTTTTATGAGAAAAATGTCGTTGCTTTAGTGACTTTTTTATGAGAAAAATGTCACTTAACAAGTGACATTTGCTGGTAAGAGCGTCGCTACTCATAGTGACGGTTTTAGCTCAAATTGCCACTTAATTATTCATTTAACGGACCCACGTCACGAACGCAAATTACCGTCATTATATAAAATGTAATTTTTTTTTTCTAAATTCTTTTAATAAATTTTATTATCATTAAAGAGCTTAAACTCAAAAAACTGAAATTTATATTAAACTTCATTTACGTTTAAATATCATCTAATTATTACAAAATTTTATAATTTAGTATTATAACATCAAAATTTTATATACATTAACCAAAATAACAAATTAAAAATGTATTGAAATGGATGACAGCATACATTTTTGCTGGCTATTCAACAGTTGCGCATGAGAAAGTTTTTTATCTTTGTCACTAGCGTGTTCAAGAACTTATTGAATAATACCATAAAATTTTTAACACTTCATTGTAAGCTTTTTATATATTAAAGAATTTAAATATTTACTAAATATAATACCTGAGTTGGTGGAGCACCAAGATCATTTCCTAAAAATTGTTGTTGCACAAAATTCATAAGATGATCGAATCGCTCATGCAACTGCTGAAATTTAGCACGTTCTTGCTCCATTCTAGCACGTTCTTCTTTAATTTTGGTATGCTTCTATTCTCTTTCTGCTTCTATTTGCTGAAAATATTGTTGCACAGTTTGTAACTCCCCTCTCAATATTGAAATGTCTCGTGACGATTGACTTGTTGAGAATGTAAATTACGGAGAGCTATGTCCATAGTAGTTAGATGGTGTTGGACCCAATCCAAGGCTTCGAACCTGTCCATGTCTTTCGTTTCCAGCAACTTCTATGAATATTTGATTTTCCATTTCTTGCATGTTGAAAGAACTATCAGATGCTATTTCAATCTCAATAGCCATTTTCTCTTTCGCTTTCTCCTGTGAATTTGTCATATACAACTATCAAGTTTAATGATTAATTGATTATATGTTAAAAAGAGTAAATATTTACTTTCTGTTAAAATATATGATACAAATTATCACAATTTCTTGTGTTTCCGATATTCATGTAAGATCCAATCTTTTTTTGTGGTATGTTATCCAAAAAAGTTCCACACGTCTAATTGTTCTGCCCATCTCATTCTCCTATACAAAAACATATTATTTGATATGATACATATCAACCCACAACTTATTCATGCATATCAAGCCTGTTCAAGTCAAGTATTTAAAATTTCAAATAATTTTAAATCTCATGTATTTATATTTTGGCCCCGTAACAACCACAATAGTCTTAAACATACCGCCAAACAATAAAATTATTTTTGGCTTTCACACATATCGGATCCATGGAACCAAAAATTCAATATATTTTTTTCTCAGGTTTAATACAAGGATTGAAAAGTCAAATCACTATGTGGAAAAGCCATCAAAAAGTTTAATTTGTATATTTGCCTTTTGATATGAAAAAATAATCCTCAATGAACATAAACGATAACTTTTTCCTCTCATATCAACCATAGGAAACCAAGTTTAATAAATCAGACAAGGTTAATATTAAGTAGTGAAGCTTATCCAAATTGTTAAAATACAACCAATCACAACCAATCTTTATTAAAGGTGGTAAATATATGGTAATAATAACTTTTCATATAATCATCTATGTTAACTAAGTTCAAAACTTTCATAATTTAATTCATGTATTAAAACTATCAAAAAACTATTAAAACAAAACCAATAACTTATTAACTTTGCCACTATTTACCCTTTTAGATGGCTAAAAAAAGTTCATTACCAATCTCTATACGTATCTATCATTAATCATTATCACAAGTGCTTCTATTGCTTTTCTTAAGCAAAACTTTTTGATCCACTTGTGTGGCTATATTTCTATTGCTTTCTGCTACCAATCACAATCTGTTCTTTTTTTTTGTCATAAAAATAATTACGTATATAATAGAAATACAAATATTATCAACTTAAACCAAAAAACACTTTCATCATTTTATTCTACTACTCAAAGTTATAAACTAGTACCTCTCTTTTTCTTGAGAACAAAAATCTAACCAGTTGTTCATATTGCCACCTAATCATATTACGAGATAAATTTTCCATCATCGCCTCTACAGTAGTATTTTTTTTATATCTAATTAATTATACTAATACCTCAATAAAGTTTAACGCATCGGCCTTAACTTCTTCTAAACTTTATGCCATGTTTCATAATAAATAGGCAATTTCATTTCATTACGGGCTAGCATGCCTAGAAATCCAGCTAATAGTTGAGCCTCTTCACCAATTAGTTGCCTATTAGAGTTTGTAGACGCTACAATATGCTTGTTAGGAGTTAGTGCAAACAATTCCTTCAAAGTTGTCCAGCCTCTGGTCCTCCGATGACCGTTGTTATCAACTACAACAAATAAAAAATTTATTGTAAAATAACAATACTTTTATCATTATACTCGAACTCTAAAATTGGAGTATA